CAAATTTCTTTTCCAGCTAGGAAAGGCAAGGACATCCAGGGCACATGGTCCCACTCCCTGTCACAATTCTCCTTCCCTGGAGATCACCAACCTGAGGTGTCCCGGGGTCTTCAGCACAGCTGTGACGAGAACACAATCGTTACTGTTCCTCAGTAACTCAGGTTGGAGCCCAGGCACAATATTTTAAGGACACCTGGCGCAAACATTTCAGCCTTCAACTCAAGGCGACCCTCCCTGCTGTGTGCTTCATCTGCGTCCTGATTAAGCTTCAGCCAGTGGTGCAGGTTACCACTGGCCTGGTCTTGGCAGGGTACTTTCCACAGCCCTCGTGCTCACTGTACATGCAAGTCACCGTCCGAGTTGCTGCTGGCTCCAGAACCCATGCCAATTTTAATAAAGGGCTCACTCCGACTACATGAGAAATGGCTGACACGTCGGAAATGTCTTCTCCTGAAATATTGCGGCTCGGTTACAGCAAACTCAACGGTGACCATCAAGGAAAAGCTCACTCTGGGGTCTTTTTTGACGACAGCAGCTGTGTGAAAGCAACAGCAGCTTCGATAAGGGCCACTCTACTGTCGATTTTGTGCGTCAGTAACACACCGCCGGATGAGAGGAGAGCTGGCTGTGAGAGTGCAGGTTATGTGCCAACTGGCTGGACAGTTGTGTAATGACGTGATCACCCTCCAGCTTCACACAATGCCATGTTTCACTTAACCACCTGGTCTGTGGAACTTAACCATGTAGATTAAATGAGGCGTGGGTGTCGTTTTGAATCATACATTTGACAATTAAAACCAAACTAGATGGGTCGGTAGGTGATTCCCCCACCACCTAGGCAGGTACCTGGCACATAGTAGGTGCTCATTATCTATCCAGGGATTGAATGTGATGGGAGAGGGGAGGCTCCCAGAGGAAGCCACGGGGAGCGGCGATCAGAATGAACATCAGAAACAGACACAGCAAGAGGAAGGTAGGTCTGGGGGCAGAGCGTTCCAGACACCGGAAACTCAAGTGCAAAAGTCCGGCCTGACCCAGGTACAGAACCCCTGGAGAAACAAAAGGAAGAACCGGGCCGAGTACGTACGTCTTAACACTCTGTCAACTACTAAGTGCTTTTTGTCCGCGCGGCAGGATTGGCTCTTTAATAGTAGATTGCATCCCCGTGTTGAAGGTTTCAGCCAGGCGCGGACTCTCGGGCGCCCCCATCTCAGGCCCGAATTCCCGGTGGAGTCGAACTTTGAGGGTCCCCGTCTCTCCAGCCCCGTCGTCTGGCTGCCTCCTAGGGGACAAACGCACCTGCAC